GTTATTTCTCCTAGAGTTATTAGATTTTTCAGGCACTCCAGGGAAACTGAATTAACAAGCAGAAAAATGGCACCTTTAAACAGTCTGTTTTACCACACACATTCTTCCTTTAAATTGGCCCATATTTTGTACTTATCCCTTTAAGCTCCTCATGCTGAAAATACATACAGAATTCAATGCAAGTGGCATGCCACAACTTTGAAGCTGGTGACAAAAAATGCCTGGCACCCATTTGAAATTATATCTTCCCCAAATTCAAGAAACCAGGCAGACATGGAAGACTGCATTGGGTAACCAACCCCTTAAATAGTAAGAAAAAACAGGGAGGTAAAAATCTATATAAGCCCCAGCACAGGAATTGTGTGGCATACCCTCAGCTGTTCTGTAGCAAGACTAGCTCTGTTATGCTTAAGAAAGGCACACAGATTTACTCCAAAGATCAAACCTGTTATATCTGATATTTCTTCTATCTGTACTATTTATCCTCTCAGACAAAGCTCTCTGCCAAGCAATCTTACGAGTCCCAATTTATGTAACACATGGCATAAGTGCATTCAGCTTATGTCAGCATCACCACATCAATCACAGCCATGGGGATTTGATTGTTGCCTAGCCTGCTGTGGCAGCAAGGGGCTGAAACCTCCACTGCCATAGCCAGATCCACGCTGCTGTGGCATCACCTGCTCCTTGCCACCTTGACAGCTTTCTAGAATTGTTACTGAGGGGCCACAGATCTTCAGAACTGCTTTGAATTTTCATAGCCACTGTTCTGGCTTTGCAAGACAGAGCTGCTGTTGCTTGTTTGCTTTCTCTGCTGTGCTTTCCTCCTCCCAAGCCAGCAGCAGTGCCTCCAAGTGCAGAGATCCTGCTTCAGAGCTGTCAGAACATCAGAAAAAGACCTAATGCTCAGCACAAGGGGCACACAATCTGGCTGTGTCACTCACCTCCAAGTACCATCATTACTTTGATCTCCAGTTTGGAGCAGCTTCAGAGAATAGGAGTGAGATTGTCCCCTGCACTGATTGCAGGAGAAAACAGGAAGAGGTGACAATGCTGATTAAGGGGCAGACAACAGCCCCATGTCCCCTTACACAAGCAGGTGGATACCCTCTGCTCCTCCTCACAAAACAAAATTTCCAGAGAAAATGAGAATCAAGCCCTTAGTTATTACAGGAGCTAAAAGAAGGCATCATTACTTCAAAGGGAAGGATTTTGTCCCGCTGCATATTACAAGACCCAAATTAGATCCTTATCTCCATGTTCAGAAAAGCCCCAAACCCCAAGGGCACAGTGAAGACCCCATCATCTTCCCTGCTCCCCGATTTGAAAATGCAGCATTGCACAGCTGCCCTGTCTGATCAAAGCTCCTTTCCCTCTGTCAACACAATCAGAGTTCAGGAAGAATCGCTATGATAACAGACTTGTATAAGCTATATACTTTGGCCTCTGCCTGCCATTAAGCCCTGCTGGGATGGCTGACATTAGTCAGCTTTAGTTCTGCCTGAAAAGAACATATAAAAAGAGACTAAAGCCTTGCAGCTGCTGTACAACAGAAGTTCTGTACAGCACTTGAGTATCTCTAGTCCTTTTGTAAGCTTCTACCACCTTTTGTAGTCTTTCAAAATCTGAAACAGGTTTTTAAACACACACAAAAAGTCTCTTTGCAGGAGGAAAATAGAAAGCAACTCCATTTTCTATATAAAACAGTGAAAAAGTAACTGCCAGCGAGCAGGGAAATGCATAGCCATTGGAAGTGGCTCACCCACACCTTAATGGGTGGGCACAAGTGTGCTGCTCTAGTCAGAAGAGGGAACAAATCTTGCTTGGGAGCACAAAATATGACTCCCAAGTCATATTCTATTCTCACAGCTGGAGTACTACTGTCTGGCGGCCTACACAAGTGTGCAGGATGTTTTCAGCTGCTGAGGACAAAGAGCTTGCTGTGAGCCCTTCCACAGTTACTGCAGATATGGCCAAGCACACTGACCTCACATGGTGATTTCCTGCTATTTGATGTTCCCAGCCTTTGGCCAAACTACATGCATTAAAAATGAGATTTGCCTCTTGAATCCCCAATCTCTTGTCACTCCACGTGAGCAGTGTATGATGGTCTCAGAAGCCCCCAACATCTTGGATGACAGATCACTTGAATGCTTCTTTGTGTCAACAGCATACCCCACAACTCTTAACCACCACTGCAGACATCTTCAGAGAATCTCTAGCCACTGCCTTGGCACTGAGCTGAAGCCTGATACTCTCATCTCCCCATCAATGTAGGAGAGCCCCTACATGCTTTGTCCAATATTCAGTCCTGAGGTAATGGCTAAGAGACCAGGAAGCTGCCTGGCTCTGTTTTCAGTTTGTGTCACCAGACCATTGTACACAGGTGTGCAGCCTCCAGCTTTGAGTCAAAACATACTATGCTTCTCCCTTCTCTGCTCTAGTAATGGATTTATAAAAGATACCATCCCATGCTACCCCCTCTATTAAAGACTATTCATCAAGTAATATTTTTTCCTCTTTTTATGCAATTACCAAAGTCCAAGACTTACATGACTGCAATGCATCTTCTTTCAACATCACTTGTTACCCCTTCAAGCCACTTTAATTTAGTGCTGATTTCTCTCTTCTCCAAATTACCTAGGAATTTTCCACATGGCAGCATACTGAGTGCTTTAGAGACATTAAGGCAAGAAATCCACTAGATGTAACTTTGGTTCAGAGAATTGGTCAAGTTAAGGAAGATATGGTGTTAGTCTAATATGATGTACCTTTAGTAAACACAGGTTTGCATGCACACTGCTCACAACTGTCTGCAGCTGAGGCAAGTAAAATGAGAATCCCTCAGAGCCATCTTCTCATTATGCAGTCCCTGAGAAATCTGATTTACTGCGAGCTCCTGGAGTCAAGTTATTTCAGTAGGTGTGCACACCAGTCATAGATTACTAGTCATTACAGTCAAAGGCTACTTTGTCTGGACAGTGTAAATACCATCAGTGATTTGAGTATAACCAGCCCACACTTGCAATGGTGTGATAGAGATTATTCTTCAAGAATGTACAAAGTGTCAGTCATAATAAATCACACAGAACAGCAGTTTGCATATTAAGGTTTAACCTTCACTTTAAGCTCCTTCACAAAAAAAGGGTAAATAATCCTTTTCAAGAAATTATGTGCATACCAATCAGTACCTACAAACACTGACAGAACTACTCAAAAAGGCAGACTTGGATGTACATGGATTAAATGCTGCCTGAAGCCTCACCAAGCTCCCAGATGATTGGAAAGGAAATGCTCCTACAGGTCTTGGGATTCCTGGCAGCAACTCCACACTACTTATCCTCCTCTGCTCTCAAAGCAGCTATAAAGTCTACACGGCGTTTGGCCAGCACAACAGAGCTGGAGCCAGCACACAGCAAAACTTCATCAAATACTTAACTGGCCTCAACTTAACTAATTATTTTGCCATCTAAGGTAAAAGTCAAGATGGTAACGCTGGCTCCATTCCTCACTGCAGTAACGGGCAATACTTCCTGCTGTTTTTCTTTCTTGATTTCTAATTTTTTCCTTTTCAACTAGGTTTATACCTATTACACCCCATTATCTGTAGCTCACCCTGTTCCATTAGCTACACCCCATTGCCCAGGCTCTAGTATCTCACAGCTTTTAACCAGAAAAAAAGACCACTTATCTGCCAAGCTTAGCTATTCTTATGAAGAAAAAAAACCAACCAAACAAAACAAAACCCACAAATCTGTAGAAACTAGAAAACCTATAAAATTGGGGAAATTTTTAGCTTATGGCAGTTGAACAAGCTGCATCTCCCCAAAGTTTTAGAAGCATAGATACAAGGGGAAAAGCATGGATATGTGCTTTCTATGTGACCTGCAATTTTTCATAGGGTTCCCCTCCTCCCTTAGCACATATAGTCAAGAGCTCATGCTTCTCAGCTATAAAAATGGAACTCTCTCACAGGAAGTTTAAATGTTTGTATCAGAATATCTGCATTTTCTATATTATCCATACGCATTTGGAAAGTTATCCTGTTTCAATAACAATCCAATAGGAAAAGAATAGTGGGGATATTCTTAGGATAAAGAACAAGAGATGTAATCCTGCACAGTCCCTTTCACCCCTACCAGTTTAAAACACTCTGGTTCCATTGCTGTATTTTTATAATTTCTGATTAGCACTTAACAGAACAGACAGGCACAACTTTGTCTTTTTTTATTTGTATTGTTCCATGCCAGGATGCCAGCAGAAAGTGCAGGGAAACTCTGAACATGGAGAAATCAAGAGTATCTTTACTCAAGTGCCACTTAAGACTAGAAGCAAAGTAAGATAAACTTTCCCAAAAGAAAAAAGCTCTAACAGAATATTAAGTGCAAGTGCAATTCCACAGTTGCTCTCTCCACCACCTTTATGTTAGGGATCAATTCCTTACACACACACACACAGAGGAAAAGAAAACAAAACCTCCCCCCCAAAAAAACAAGCCCCAAAATAACGGCAACAAAAATCCCAAAGGAAGGAAAAAAATTCTACTTCAGTAAAGAATTCACAATTGAGCCTAGAGAAAACCCAAAAAACCATGAACAAGACATCAAATCAAAGTCTTATAATACCAATCCTTACTCAAGACTGAAAAGAAATACTTATTAGTACTTCATTTACTTACCCTGAAAATAGAACTCAAAACTATCCTCAGTATTAACCATTTTAAAAGAAGCTGATGAGTTCCAGCTTATTTCAAGTACACACACATGTAAAATTCACATATATATGTGTATTTTAGTGCCACCTTGTGAACAATCTCCGAGTAAGGAGGCTTAATCCATACAGACCAAATTCTGCCATCTTTATTCACATTTAGATCACTTTAACAGATACTTTTTGAACAGGGACTCCATGTGACAAAGGATGGCTGAACCAGATTATTAGTGAAGAATATGTTAAAAGCCTGAATAAAATAGCTACTTGTCTTTTGTAATTTCCATACACTTTTGTGTCCCAGTTTATTGCCACAAACAATATGGAAAATATCACTAAATCCTTTCTGATAAAAAAATTGCAGCTTTGCATCCAAGTTGTATAGCTGTCTTCAAAACCGAATAAGCTGGTGCCTGTAAAACAAAGAATAAAAGGTTAAATACATCAATGAAGTGGTTTTTTTTGAAGCAGATTGTGGTAAGGAAAAGTAAGCATTACCTAAGAAACAAAACAAAACCTAACAACAAAACACCCAAATCCAGCTGTATTTGTAGTTTAATCTACCCTAGAGAAAACTAAATTAAAAACAATCAACTCTAGAATGTTTCCATTTCTCCCCAAATGCAAGCAAAGAGAAAAAGAAAGAAGTCACACATTCCTCCTATAGTATTCAAGGGAGTACAGAATTTAGTTCAGTATTTCACACTCCCTAACATGGCTGTGTTTGTCTGCCAAGATGATGCCTCAAATTCCCAGCTGTATGGATAGCACATACTAGCCTTATCTTCAAAAATATTTAATCTAAATTAAAAACTGCACAGAGGACACCTCTTAGGAAAACACAATCACTTTAACACTTGACATGAGATCCAAGAGATTCAATTCTGATTTAGAAAAAATGAAAGCTCTAACATGCAGTATTTGCTTATATTTGTCCTTGGGAAAGAGTATCAAGCACATGATTTTCTCAGGGGACAAACTACATCAAGTCACTGGATAAGGAAGATAAGAATACCACACTTACATCCTCACTAACAGTGCCAATTAGCTAACACTGTACTTACTGCTTCAGCATCGTGCTCAAGCCCAATGTCGTGGTGCTCCCGCTCATCATCCCGAAATTGCTTTATTGTCTTCAAAAACAGCAGGTAATTAGTAAGTCTACTCGGCAGAGAAATCAAGGCAGCTTTTATAACAAAACTGCATGCTATAGATGACTGCATGCACCAGTACAGGCATCTGAGGCCCAGGTCTCTCAAAAGCTTCTCAGTAACACAACAGCAAGAAGGGAATTATTTACAGCATTCCTTAAAGCTAAAGATCTTTCAATAGTCTCAGAAAAAAAAGTCTTTAAAAAACAAGCTACTGCTTAATATATCACTGTGTTTTTCAACTGTTTCAATAAAACCTATAGTCATAGGTCCCATAATGCTAATTAGTTTTGCACATATAAATCATTCTGATGATTTAAATAAAGAAATAAAGGCTCCTGCCTTGCCAGATAATCAGTAGGGGTATTTCCCTGTAAGCCAACAGGGCTTTTGTCCATTCTAGCATACTCTAAAGAATACTATTTCCCTCTTCTGATTTTTCAACTGAGACAAAAATGTCTAGAACTTTTCTCCTGAGACACCTGCAGATAATGAAGATTGCTTAATAAAATGCTCACATCTACAGACACCCAAGTACTGTCGCTAACCAATGGGTATGCATCACCTTTGACTTCATTGCTAGTCCTCCTTACACTGACACTGTGCTGTGGAGGCTTTTCTCTTCCTTTTATGCCCTCTCAGTTTGTAGTCTTTATTTTCACAGGGAGTGTTTCATTTGTGCACGTCAGCACAACCTGGGTTACTTCAGATCCCGTTTCCGTAACACGGCGACACGCTCGGAGGAATGAGACCTAGCTACGTGTTAAACCAAGCACAACTAAGCACACTGTCAGCCAGCAGGGGTGGAAACAAACACATGGGCCCTACAGCAAGGTCTCGCCAAACAAGAGCACTTATGAGCAAAATGTGCTGCATGCAGAAAAAGGTCAGCCTCTGACAAGCACCCTACAGGAATGTGTCCCAGTTTGATGCCTAAAATACTTAGGAGACAGTTTTCTTGCAGAGCTAACAAACATTAGCTCTTTACATGCTCTGAACAGTATTCAAGACTAGAACTACATAACTGTATCCAGTATAAGCAAAATGTTACTATATAATGTATTTTCTCCTTTTTTATCCCCCCTTACACCCTTCCTTTCAATTAAAGGTAATCAAAATTTAAGCATAGCTCTCTCCATCAAAAGGCAAATGCTCAGTTACTGAAAGCACGCTGAAGCTAATCCAATATACATTGTAGTTTTGGTGCTTGATCATTTCAGTACTGCTGAAGGAAAAAACCATTGTTTTAACTTAAAAGCTTCTGCTGTATTTCAGCATTCCAAGTGACAAAGGAGATCTACTGTGAATTCTACAAGCATATTACCTGAAGAGACTAAAGTCACATTAAGTAATTAAATGAATTTGTTAAAGTACTTTTCAAGTCATAAATACCTGCAAGAGTTCTTTGTACTTTTCTGGATCTTCTTCCATAAGAGTCCGGATCTGGCTGTTGTAGTGATCTGATATACTCTCTTCCACTGCCACTGTGCAAGCCATTGCACCCTTCTTCCCAAGTAAAGCACTTCCAGCCCCTGTGATTGTGGCATCAAACACATGCAAACAATGAAATCTGAAGCCATACAAATAACTTACACACTTGAAGACTTTATAAAACAACAATACTACTATAAACTCACCTAAAACAAAACCTGCTACATTCCAAAAAGGCAATAACACAGTAGGTCGAACTCTATATGCAACTATTAGTTCGTTGAACTTTTTCAGATGGTCTTTTTCTTGATTCCACATTTGCTGCAAGAGCAAGATTACAGTAAGTATAAAACTAGAAAAACTACGCGTTCCCAATAAAACTCATAAACCAAAGAACACCAGAACAACTCAGGCCCCCCACACCTTAACTGCAGAGGTAACACTACTCACATCACAAAAAGGAAGTAGTGAGAAAGGGCAGGATGGGCATAATTACAAATAGGCAGCATAAAAAAATAGGCGGGACAGGGACAACTATAAATAGGCAGCATTTGCAAAGTGAAGTCTGCTAAGTGACTCTACTACACCAGTTGCAGTACAGGTAACTCCCTCACCGAGGAACCCCGCCACCCGTTAGAAACCCACAAGTTTAAACGTGCTTAGGAAAAGCTGCCCGCAGCTCCCCTCGGCCGCTGTTCATCCCGCGCCAATTCAGCGGAAGCACGGCGACGGTTTTGGGGCCCGCGGACCTGGATGAGGGGTCCCACGCTGGATCTCCCCAAGACGGCCATTTGCCCCGCGTAAATGCGGTTCGCGCCGTACTCCCCGGCGTGGTCCACCCGGATGATGCGCTCCACGACGGGCCTGTTGACGGCCTCCGGAGGCACCCGCGTGCTGCAGAGCCGAGGGGACGGGCCCGCCCGC